CACTGCCAGCGCACCACGAGACGCATATGATCGAGTTGGTGTATGGGGGAGGAGAGTTGAGAAAGCCCTCGCAAACAGTGATGATGATCCAGGCTGCTCCGAAAGAAGGATCAACCAGTGGAGGAGTGGGGGTACAGTCGCAGGGGGAAGGCGACAAGCCAGTAGTAATATGGGGAAAGAGCCCGTCCGCCAAGACAAGCAAATCTGAGCCAAACCAATTGGGGACTAAGCCCACACCCGCCGTTGTGCTGAAGGGGGTATACAGAGATCTGGTCACCATAAAGCCCGTAGTCCAGCTGCCAATGATTGATAGCAAGGCTGTGCCTTGGAAATACGAGAAGGCAGTAGTGATGTACAAAGGAAACAGGTGGAGGAAGTTAGTTGCGAAGCGCAAGGGTTGACTCGATCAGGTCGGTGTTTTGCTCCGGTGGAATTAAGAAGAACCAACCCAACTGCAACCAAGAAACCTGTAAACAGTCTCTCTACCCTTCGGGGTAGGGGTAAGGTCTGCGTACATATTACCCTCCCCAGACCCCACTTGTGGGATAATACTGGATCGTTGTTGTTGTTGTCGTTTCAAAAAGATTATATTAGTTTGATTTGATACAAATTTTAATAAAGAAGGAAAAACTTTTAATATTTATAATTTTAAATAAGTCATTTGTGTGACCGTAAAATTTTTAAAATTTATAATATTAAATTTGTCATAGCATTTGAGTGACTATAAAACCTGCCTATTAAAAAAAATAGTAAGACACCAATCTTTTTTAAACAAACTAATGGAGAATAATATCTATCTTTTCTAAACGAATGGAGTAGTTTTTATCACTTACGGTTACGTGTTGATCAGTGAAGTGTTCAGTTGAAACATATGTCGAACAACTAGAAGTATCTAAATTGTCACCACAAAAGTTTCACTGATAGTTTGTGCCAAATTAAGGGGCTATCTAGTATTTTAGCTCCGAATAATTGTAGTGTTTTGAAATTTGAAAAAGGGAAATTTACGCGGTATACCCATTAGAAATATCAGTTAACTTTATATGCATTTAAAATATTTATTTTACCTTATATACTTATTTTATAATATTTTATTTACTTTTTTAAATCTTGAATATTATCATATACCATTAAACAAATCTTACCTTTTAAGGAACTAAATTATCTCTCACTACAACTTAATAAATCCCTTGAAGTACTCCATCATCCACGTTTTAAGGAATTGAGATTATACGTACCTTCTCACCAAAAAGTCCAAACCACATAAATTTCTCTATGTCCTTCATCGTTTTTTCTTTACTTCCATCTAAATCAAAAGAAAAACAAAAATAAGGTAAAAATATTTTAATTTGGAATATACTCTCAAACCAATACACCACCAACATCATAATGAAAAATATAATGTTCAAATCAAACAAACTATAGTATTCTAATTTAGAATACACTACTCAAATCGAACATACCACAATATTTTAATTTGAAATACAATATTTAAATCAAACATACTATAATATTCTAATTTTAAATGTAGTATTCAAATCAAATATACCACAATATTCAAACCAATTATACCAAATTACAATAGTGTAATGAAGAATATTATATAATTCAAACCAACATACCAAAATATTGTAAAAAAAATACAATATTTAAACCAAATACACCACAGTATTCTAATTTAAAATCCATATTCAAACCCAACATTACATATTCAAACAAAACATACCACAATATTCTAATTTGGAATATAGTATTCAAATCAAATATAGCTTTATTTTTATTTATTGTGTGTATTTTATTTTACTTACAATATTAACATGCTATATATAATACTAGTATACAATGAATAGTTTACTGAATAATTGTTTATTGTATAAAAGAAAATACAGACAAAGGTTCTCATAAGAAAAGGCTTTGTTTAAAAGAAAATCTTTATTTTATTCTTTAATTTTGGTCCAAAGTTTAAACGGATGGAGTTAATTTGCTTCGTATGAACTTATAAATGAAACTTTCCGTTAATTAGGGGGCAAATTTATATGATAGTTATTGTTCTTTTGACTAAATGGATATGTAGGGTAACTATTGAATGTAATTTCATAATTGAAGTATACTATGTTAAGGGATTTTAAAGGTAAAGTATACTATGTGAGGGGGTGGGGCTGGGGAACGGTAAAAGTAAAAGGAGAGAGGGGATTTTTTATTAAATGTGGGTCCCACAGGTGCTATTTGGCAAGCAATCAATGCCCTCACTCAACTATTACATGGGAAATCTCACTCAAAATAAAATTTCTCGGGAGAGAGAGAGAGAGAGAAACGGCTGGGGAACGATAAAGGTGAAAGGAGAGAGGGGATTTTTCATTAAATGTGGGTCCCACAAGTGCCAGGAAGAAGAAAAAAGTGGAAGAGAGAGAGGGGGTGGGGTGGGGAACGGTAAAGGTAAAAGGAGAGAGGGGATTCTTTTATTAAATGTGGTTCTCACATTTGCCATTTGGCAAGTAATCAATGCCCTCACTCAACTATTACATAGCAAATCTCAGTCAAAATAAAATTTCTCGGGAGAGAGAGAAACGGCTGGGGAACGATAAATGTGAAAGGAGAGAGGGGAATTTTTCATTAAATGCGGGTCCCACAAGTGCCAGGAAGAAGAAAGGTGGGGGTGGGGCTGGGGAACAGTAAAGGTAAAAGGCGAGAGGGGTTTTTTTATTAAATGTGGGTCCCACAGGTGACATTTGGCAGGCAATCAATGCCCTCACTCAACTATTACATGGGAAATCTCACTCAAAATAAAATTTCTCGGGAGAGAGAGAGAGAGAAACGGCTGGGGAACGATAAAGGTGAAAGGAGAGAGGGGGATTTTTCATTAAATGTGGGTCCCACAAGTGCCAGGAAGAAGAAAAAAGTGGAAGAGAGAGATGGGGTGGGGTGGGGAACGGTAAAGGTAAAAGGAGAGAGAGGATTCTTTTATTAAATGCGGTTCTCACATTTGCCATTTGGCAAGTAATCAATGCCCTCACTCAACTATTACATGGGAAATCTCACTCAAAATAAAATTTCTCGGGAGAGAAAGAGAGAGAAACGGATGGGGAACAATAAAGGTGAAAGGAGAGGGGGATTTTTCATTAAATGCGGGTCCCACAAGTGCCAGGAAGAAGAAAGGTGGGGGTGGGGCTGGGGAACAGTAAAGGTAAAAGGAGAGAGGTGATTTTTTACTAAATGCGGGTCCCACAGGTGACATTTGGCAGGCAATCAATGCCCTCACTCAACTATTACATGGGAAATCTCACTCAAAATAAAATTTCTCGGGAGAGAAAGAGAGAGAAACGGATGGGGAACAATAAAGGTGAAAGGAGAGGGGGATTTTTCATTAAATGCGGGTCCCACAAGTGCCAGGAAGAAGAAAAAAGTGGAAGAGAGAGAGGGGGTAGGGCTAGTGAACGGTAAAGGTAAAAGGAGAGAGGAGATTTTTTTATTAAATACGGGTTCCACAAACAATCAATGCCCTCACTCAACTATTATATGGCAAATCTCACTCAAAATAAAATTTCTCCTTATACATGCATTGATATGGACTTTTATTCCATTCAACGTGTCAAAAATCAAAATCTGGCTTCTTCAGTGTATTTACCTGACTTCTAATTAATTAATCGAGCAAGTGCATTTCCACCTGTACAAATTCAAGGAGCTAGGAATTGGATTTATTCAATCTATTTTGATCTAAACAAATTTTATGTCTTAGATCATTTTACTCGATCTTTTTAATCCACTCAAATTTCTCTATGTGCTATCTGTTTGATACATAATATTGGCGCATACAAATTATGTAACGCGTTTATCTTAAGTTGTGAGTTAAATCGTGATGTGTTTCTACTTTCTACATCTATTAGGTCCACACATTTTGTCTTAGACAAACTTTTAAGAGAAACTTTCAGAAATTACTATGTTTTAGTGGTTATTAGCTAATAATAGCTATTATTTACTATATTACTTCCTATAATTATGTCTTCAAATTTTTTAGAGTGTATTCGATGTATTTAAACTATTGTATTCATGAATACATCAACATTTCTAGGCGTGAAACAAGGGATTATAGCTAGAAAGATTTTTGTATTCGAGTGTATTCGACTATATTCATGGCGTGAAATATGGGATTAAAGCTGGACAGATTATTGTATTCGACTGTATTCACGGCGTGAAACAGGGGATTACACTGTTTTTAAACGGAAAGTGAATTAATTAACATAATAGACTCTTAATATAGCTCAACAAACTCAATTGTAACACACAAGATTTGTATTTTCAGTTATAAAAAAGATTCTCAACTGAAAAACACCTCAAAAACATAGCAATCTTCAGAGAAATTATATAATACATATGAATACATAAATTATATTAATTAAATAAAACATATGAATACATTCATGGAATATAGCAAGACGGTGAATATAATGAAATACATAGAATACAACGGGATACATTGAAATACAATGAAAAAAAAGACAATGAATACAATGAAATACAGCGAGATACATTGAAATATATTAACAGAAAATACAAGTTCCATTACAACGAGAAAATATCTGTCAAAATTTTTCCTTCTTCCATTGCTTTTTCAAGAGCAATTGTCTGTAAATGGCGACAATTTCACTGTCTTTTGTTTGGCTGTGTCGACTTTGTGTACTCTTTTAGCAAATAAGAATATTAGACCCGAGGGAGAAATATCACGACTTCTTCTCCTTCTCTAGCGAGATTGAAATTCGACTCTGAATGAGATTGGGAGGCTGAGGGAGGCGGTATGAGGGAGAATAGATATAGGGTAGGACATAGAAGAAATTTGAGAGGATATGAGAGAGAAAAATAATACAAAGTTTATTTTATAGCTTAAGAATATGAGGTAACCATAAATAGATATTTGACTATAAAAAAATCAAAAAGTAACTATGAAATATAATTTTTTTTAAAAATATTTATTTAAAATAAATAAAGTAACTTTTGTTGTAGGAGGTAACTATTAGTCATATTAATATTGCTAGTCCTAGCATTAGTAATAATTTTCTATAGGGATTCAGACTCCAATTTCTTGCGGGTTCATTGAAGTCAGACATTCTTGTGAAATAAGTAAGGCGAGGTCAGCCGTCAACTTGAAGCTATGCAAGCAAACAGATTTAGAGCCCGTTTGGATATACAAAATTTTTGCTTTTTTTCAAAAAAAAAAATTTGAAAACAATGTTTTGTTATACATTTCAACCCGTTTTTTTCCAATTTCACTTGAAAATGCATTTTTAAATTTGAAAAACTAGTTCTTACCAGTTTTTCAATTGAAAATGCATTTTTACTAATTTTAAATTTTTATAAACTTACCCTATAACTTTTAAAAGTTAAACAATAGCATGTTAAACAATAACATTTTCACTTGAAAATGCATGCCCATCTGCATCTTCTGTGTAGTGAAGTAAAACAGAATATGACAACAGCTAAACAATAGAATATTTGATTATTTATTTCAAGTAGGATAATTAAAATATGGCGGTTTTGATATTTTTTAAAAGTTATAGGGTATCAATCATATTTCATAATTTTGCAAAAAAAAAAAAAAAAGTGATCCACCTGGCAGTTTCCTGCCCACATCTGATGCAGCATAAACACGCCAAGCTCCATATTTTGATCGGCCATGACCTGATTTAACAGTTATGTTTTCCCATTTTGGAGCAAGCCCAACACAGAAAGCCAGGTATGTTTTCCTTACCTTACAACAACAACTACCCAATAAATTCCTACAAAGTAGGGTTTAGGGAGGGTAATACGTACGCAGACCTTACCCTTACCCTGATAGGGCAGAAGCTATTTCCAATCGACCTCCGGCTCAGAAAAAATAAAAAAAAATAAAAAAAACGACAATTCATTAGTAACTTCAACAGAAATCGTAGAAATAGTAACCTAAGCATAAAAACAGTAAAATACATGACATGTAATGATATCAGCCACAATCTACCTTCCGGGACTAAAATCAACAGCAATCTTAGTGAAGCTAAATAAAATCCGTACGCCATCTATGACAAACCCTATCCAACCCCACCCACCCCGGGAATGAAGTAAGAAAAGCTCTAGTACCCCCTGCCCTACAATCCTTATGCTTGACCTCTAGACTTTCCTATCAAGGGTCATGTCCTCGGAAATCCGCAGTCTAGCCATGTCTTGCCTAATCACCTCTCCCCAATACTTCTTAGGCCGCCCTCTACCTTTTTTCGAACCCACAGCTACCAGCCGCTCGCAAATGCTTTTACAAACTTAGCTGCTACTTTGTGCAACTTAGTAATCAACATTACACCACTTGTATCACGATCAAGTCTATTAGCTAAATGAAGCTCGGAAACATTAGCCCCTGAAGATATTAAAAGTGGTGGTTAAAACGTAAGAAAACCTCACAAGTACCCAAGTGGTATTTGTCAATTTATTTCTTCACTTAAACATAAGATGATTAAAATGTCTGTTTCACAGAACAACTTACGGACATCCATAAGTCCCCGAAGGACCATGAACTTCATTCCTATTCTCTCCCAAAACCATCTTTAGGCATTTAAAAGCCTGTATTTGATTATACATGAGGAATAAACAGAAAAAGAACAAAGGTTAGACCTATCAAGCAAGATTTAGCCCATTTGCAGATGTATATCATTCATCAGAAAAAGAACTAGATCATCTGTTTTTCTTCCTTCTTGGATAAGAAAGGACAGGGTAATTTATTTCACTACCTATTTTTTGAACTGGTAGTGTATTTCACTACTTGTTGACACACTAAATGCCTAGTACCTTCATATAATGAGCTACAGCACATTGTTCTCCTGTACCGTGTGTGATAACACTAGATAGGATAGGACTAGAGGCAGCGAAACTAATTCTATCAGAAAGGTGGTTCTTATTTTATCCTTCCAGAGTGGGAGTAGGTGGAGACTCTTAGGGGCCATTTGGTTCATGGATTAGTTACAGGGAGATCATAATACATAATACAAGGGTTATTATATGATTAAATAATAATATAAGGATCATTATATAGAAATACATGGATTGTCGGGCGGTGAATAATAATACATGGATTGCTATGCGATATCTAAGAATGCATGTATTGTTATGTGGAGATCACGATATACGTGCATTCCTTTCCTAAGGAACATTATACATGCATTCTTATTCTACGTTCTAACAACAACAACAACCCAGTGAAATCTCATAAGTGAGGTTTGAGGAGGGTAGTGTGTACGCAGACCATATTCCTACTCCGAAAAGTAGAGAGATTATTTCCGATAGACGCTCGACATAATAAGATGTAAACGAGACAATGTAGCAGTAACAACAAAGGAATCCAGAAAGATAACACCACCAACGTAATAACCGAAAAATAGAGAAAAAAATAATAACATTAAGCAGTAACAATGGCACAGTACTATAGACGCAATGGAATAATATAGACACAACAAGAGCCACTAGCATCCTAATCAAAACACTTCCAGACTAGTTTCCTACCAACCTAACCTACAATCCTGACTAAGGACACAACTGGAGCCACTAGCGGCCTAACACAAAACACTATCAGACTAGCCTCATTATCTCCTAATCTATGACTCTAATGCTCAATCTCCATAACTTCCTATCAGTCATGTCCTGGGAATTCTACAGTCGTACCATGTCCTGCCTGATTACCTCTCCCTAATATTTCTTAAGGCATCCTCTACTTCTCCTCGTACCATCAAGTCCAGTCGTTCACACCTCCTAACCGGGGCATCCGGGCTTCTCCTCTGCACGTACTCAAACCATCTAAGCTTAGCTTCCCGCATCTTGTCTTCAATGGGAGTCACGCCCACCTTCACTCAGATATCTTCATTCCTAATCTTATCCAACTAAGTGTGCCCGAACATACATCTCAACATCCTCATTTCTGTAACTTCCATCTTCTGGATATGGGAATTCTAAATTGGCCAACACTTCACGCCATACATCATGGCCGGCCTAACCACCGCTCTATAGAACTTACCTTTAAGTTCCAAAGACACCTTCTTGTCGCACAAGACGCCAGATGCTAGCCTCCATTTCATCCATCTCACTCCTATACGGTGCGTGACATCCTCATCAATCTCCTCATCCCCTGGATAACCGACCCCATGTACTTGAAGCTCCCTTTCTTGGGGATGACTTGAGATGCAAGCCTCATGTCCATGTCCGCTTCTCCTGACACGCTGCTGAACTTGCACTCCACACGCTGCTGAACTTGCACTCCACGTATTCTGTCTTGGTCCTGCTCATCTTGAAACTTTTAGACTCAAGGGTCCATCTCCAAACCTCCCACCTCCTATTAACACCGCCTCGCATCTCATCAATCAAAACTATATCATCAGCGAATAACATACACCATGGCACCTCCTTTGAATATGGTGTGCCAGTGTGTCTATCGCTAGGGCAAATAAGAACGAGCTGAGCGCAGATCCTTGGTGTAACCCCATAATAACCGAAATATGCTCCGAGTCGTACCCCACTATCCTAACCCGAGTCTTAGCTCCATTATACATGTCCTTAATCACCCTAATATAAGCCACCAGAACACCTTTCGCCTCCAGACATCTGCAAAGAACTTCCCTAGCGACCTTGTCATATGTCACCATATGCAAATCCTTCTTCCTATCCCTATATAGTTCAACCAACTTCCGAATAAGATGGATAGCTTTCGTGGTAAAACAACCAATCATGAACCCAAACTGGCTCCCAGATATCGACACCGCTCTCCTCACCCTCACTTCCAATACCCTCTCCTGCACTTTCATGGTATGACTCAATAACTTGATGCCCCTATAGTTGTTACAATTCTGGATATTTTCTTTGTTCTTGTATAGCGGAATCATCATACTCCATCTCCATTCATCTGGCATCTCCTTCGTCCTCAAAATAATATTAAACAGCCCAGTAACCACTCTTATCCTGCTCTACCCACATACCTCCAAAATTCTACCAGAATTTCGTCTGGCCCGGTCAATCTGCCCACATTCATCTTATGCATAGCCCCCACGACCTTAGGCATAGCCCCCACGACCTCCTCAACCTTAATGCATCTACAGTAGCTAAAATCTCGGTGACTCTCGAAGTGTTCCAATTCACCTAGCACAATGTCTCTGTCCCCTTCGTCATTCAAAAGCTTATGAAAGTACATCTGCCATCTCCGCTTAATTTGAGCGTCTTCCGTCAACACTCTGTCTTCCTCGCCCTTGATGCACCTCACTTGGTCTAAATCACGAGCCGTCTTCTCTCTCTCCTTGGCTAGCCGGAATATCTTCTTGTCCTCGGCTTTGTCTCCCATTCTTCATACAGGCGGTCAAACGCCGCACTCTTAGTTTCTGTGACCGCTAACTTCGCCACCTTCCTAGCTTCCTTATAGCAATCTTTGTTCCTCCGCCTCCTCTTCTCCTCGTCTGTACTCTCCACTAACCTCCGGTACGCCGCTTTCTTTTCTTACACCTTTCCCTAGACCTCAACATTCCACCACCAATCGCCCCTGTGACCGCCCCAGTAACCCTTCGACTTATTCTACGTTCTATCTTGTGTAAAACAACAAATTCCCACTTATTCTACGTTCTATCTTGTGTAAAACAACAAATTCCCAAATTTAGTTATACGAAGCTTTACATTAGAGACCAAAAGCGTATTAAATATTTGCAGATGCAGAGTTTTATACTGAAAACCAATGTTTCATAAAGCTTTATGGCCAGATTAGTATCTATTATATGACAAACCAAACAAGTCCTGAGGTTTTAATTCGATTCTAGCCTATGTGATTAAACATGGTGTAGTGATTACAACAATCCCACAATCAATATATACTCTAAATCATCTTTATCAAAGCCGCACATGCGTCAGTGTTATCAAACCTCTCTTGTAAGACCTTGAAAGTTGAAACTAGGTGAAGCTCAAGTTCGACACTTCGTCTTGCTTAGATAGCGCTTTACTGCGCTAAACAAAGGCGTTGAAGTCATACGCCACTTCACCGCGGAATCGTTCTTTAATAAAGAATAACTAAACAATAAATATGTTAGTAAATTGCAAATTTTTTATCCGTGAGTTAATGTACTCCACTTCAAACACCAGATATTACAAAAAACAACCAAATATTAGTCGCAGCGTAAAATAAAAAAAAAATAAAAAAAAAAAGATGAAAGAAACCTCACCAGTGTCAGTAAGTAAAGCAGGGAGTGAAGACAAAACAGTCTCACAGTAAATTCCTTGGGGCTTATTAACCGCAATGAGCCATTCGTCTTCAAAGATAACATGGCTTCTCGAAAGAGTAAAAAGAGAGGATTTTAAAGAAGCAGTTAAGGCTCTGTGCGGCTCTATTTCCTTAGATATGTCAGGCATTGGCGGAGATAATGGAATTGGATAATCTGTGGCTGAATCAATGTAGTGTAGCTGCTTTGGTTCGCCATGATGGAGATGAATCGAGGGTGTCGGAAGATTCTGCCAGATGAACTGAGCAAAGGTATTTGACCGAGAGGGAGCTTTACTGTCATTTTCGCCCCTAGCATTTACCTATACTGCCCTAAAGTTTTACACCTCGTTTGGCCAAGCTGCAAAAATCAGCTTATTTTGAGAAGTATTTTTTTCCAAAAGTACTTACTTTTGGTGGAAAACAGTTTGTATTTGGCTAATTAGTTTGAAAAGCACTTCTGAGCCGCAATTAGTATTTGGTCAAGCTTTAAAAAAATGCTTCTAAATGTATTTTTCTCAAAAGTGCTTCTCAAAAAAGTACTTTCGGAGAGAAGCTACTTTTTTCTGCTTCTCCAAAACTACTTCTGCTTCTTCTCAAAAGCACTTTTTTTCTTTGCAGAAGTTTGGTCAAACACCTCATTTTTTGGCCAAAAGCACTTTTGGCCGAAAAGAAGTTTGAACAAACAGGCTATTAGTCTGCTACGAGCGTAAGTTCAATATGGAAGGAAAGGAAAAATAAAAAAGTAATCCTCATAAAGTTTTAAAAAAATTATTCTTAAACTCTATAATCTTAAATAGGATATTTGTGCTATGAAAATTATACTATTGTATTAATAATATAATTTAAATTTATATAAAAATATAATATTATTCTTTTTGAAACAAACTAAAAGTAACTAATTCACATGAGACATAGGATAACATAATTATTTACTGCAGCAATAGGATAACATAATTATTTACTGCAGCAAAATACACATACGAGAAGGAAGTACGATAAATCAACTCTCTTGTTAGCGGGTGGATGTGACATAATTGATATCTCTACCCCTTTAAATAAAATTCGGGTTTAAGTTAAAACAAAATATAATTATAAATTAATAGTCTCAGGAATTTACTTTATACGAATTTAACTAGTTGAGCGAGTGAATATATGGTTAAGGAAAACAAGGAGAGTACTAGATTTAAAGTTACACAAATCATTGATGCTTATTTCAATGTTCAAAATACCTTTACTTGGATATTCGTGATATTTATAACTATTTATCAACTATCTATAAATGATTTCAACGATACTCTTGATTCCATCAATCAAATTTCGCGATTTTCACGAAAATGTTATCTGTACCCCTTGATATTTTTTGGAATTTTTAAGTTTTCTAATAAGATAAAGCAGAATTTATGGGCAAAATCAGATCTGCAGAGGAGAAGAAGTTTTATCAAATGTAGCGTTCTGCTACTGGTAGGATTAAAGGCAGCTCTGAAAAATATCGAGAGAAGGAAAGAAAGGATAAAAATGCTAAGAAGGAAAAGATAAAATTTGGATTTCAATTTTGCATATCTTTCTTTCAAGACTGACTAGGTACATATAGAAAATACTAGGAAACAGCTGTCAAATGCTCAGCAAATGCTAACAAACTGTACTACCTTGACACATGTCCTTAATTAGCTGTTCATAGGATTAAGGAGGGGAAAATGACTAAACTTAGGGACTTTTAAATAGCCCCTACTAAGTAACATAAACGACACAAACACCTACTTTTCTAATTAGCATTGTTTTTCCTAATTACTCATCCAAGTCACGACCAAATCATGACATTCCATCCCTCTTCCAGCGAAGCTGCTACTTTAGGGATCAAAATCAGGAAATTGGGACTTCAGAAAGGAGTAATCTTCCCAGGTTGCCTCTTCCTTAGACAAATTTGCCCATTAAGCTAGAACTTGAACAACAGCCTTGTTCCCCTTCTTTGCCATGCGTCGTTCCAAAATTGCAAGCGACTCTGTTAAGATCTGCCCTTCATCAGTGCAATGCGATGGCTCCTTCGACACTACTACTTGACCACCCACCACTTTCTTCAACTGAGACACATGAAAAATTGGTGTATTTTTGAACCTGGTGGTAGCTGAAGCTCATAAGTCACTTGTCCTATTCTGCGAATTATCTCGAATGGCCCATAAAATTTGGCTGCTAACTTCAAGTTTCTTCGAATCGCTACTGACATTTATCGGTAAGGTTGTAGCTTTAAGAAAACTCTGTCCCCTACTTCAAATGTTCTTTCACTCCTCCTTCTGTCAGCATATTGCTTCATACGATTTTGAGCAATTGTCAGGTTATCCTTCAAAATCTTGTTAATTAACTGCCTTTCCCTTAAGAGTTGATCAACTAACTCTAGCTTTGTTCGTGACACAAGCTCAAATGGAGGTAGAGGTGGATCGTAGCCGTAAAGTGCCTTAAAGGGAGTCATTCTGATGGCTGACTGATAATTTGTGTTGCACCACAATTCTGCCATAGGGATCCACCTGCTCCAATCTCGTGGTTTATGCACGGTCATACACCTAAGGTATGTCTCAACACATTGGTTCAACCTTTCGGACAGTCCATCGGTTTGAGGATGATAGGATGTACTCAACCTCTGTTCCACCTGTAGTCCTTTGAATAGCTCCTTCCAAAACAAACTAGTAAAAATTGGATCCCTATCCGAAAAGATAGAATTGGGAACTCCGTGTAATTTACATATGTTGTCCAGAAAAATTCGAGCTACCCGTGGTGCATCATAAAGATGGGATAATATGAACAAATGAGCATATTTCGTGAACCTGTCGATGACAACCAGAATGGTGTCATTTCCATGTGATCTAGGTAATCCTTCAATGAAATCCACTGTCAGGTGTTCCCACGCCCGAGACGGAATGGGCAATGGCTGCAACAACCCCGGATAACGGACATGTTCTCCTTTGTTTCTTTGACAAATAACACAAGCTTGCACCATCTCTTTGACATATTTCAGTAATGTAGGCCAGTAAAAAATGGATCTTGCTCTTTTTTGAGTTGCAATGATTCCTGAGTCCACCCCATGGGGTTGAATGCATTTGTTCCATTACCTTCTTTCTTAGTTCCCCATTTTTACCAATCCAAACTTGCCCATTGAATCTGATCACTCCATGTTGTAGTGTTGTATTTGGAATAGACCCAGCATCCATGCTTAATTGTTCAATAATGTTTTGAGCTTCTGCATCCCCATCATAACTTTCAACCACTTTTTGGACCCATTTGGGCTAGACAATAGTAAGCGCATTGCATTCTTCCTGGCCCTCAAATCTAAAGACAAAGCATCTGCAACAACATTATCAGCCCCTTTCTTGTAATGTATCTTATAACTTAGGCCATAAGTTTAGAGATCCCCTTGTGTTGTAGCGCTGAAGTAACTCGTTGATCCTTTAAGAACTTTAGGCTGAAGTGGTTAGTTCTAATTATAAAATGGTTGGGCTGCAAATAATGTCTTCATTTATCAACTACTATTAATAAAGCTATAAGCTCTTTCTCATAAGTTGACCTGCCCAGATGTTTAGGACTCAAGGCTTGACTGATGAAAGCAATAGCCCTATGATTCTGCATAAGGACTGCCCCTACTCCCACGCCACTAGCATCAACTTCCACCATAAATGGAATGGAAAAATCGGGCAAAGCTAACACTGGGGCATGCACCATTGCATTCTTCAATTCATCGAATGCTGTTGTAGCCTTGTCATTTCACGAAAAAGCCCCATTTTTAAGCAACTCAGTCAACGGTTTACTTATCAAGGCAAAAATTTTAATGAAGTGTCGGTAGTAACCAGTGAGTCCCAAGAATCCCCTCAAGCCTTTAATGTTAACAGGGCAGGGCCAATTCACCATTGCCTCGACTTTTGGACAAATCAGTACTTACACCCGAGCCTGAAATAATGTGACCCAAGTATTCAACTTGATTTTTTGCAAAGCTACACTTCGATTGTTGGGCAAACAACTGATTGTTTTGCAACACTTCAAACACCACCCTTAAATGCTCAATATGGTTTTCGAGTGACACACTGTAAATTAGTATATTATCAAAAAACACCAAGACAAACTTCTGGAGGTAAGGACTGGAAATTTTATGCATTAACGCCTGAAAAGTTGTCGGGGCGTTAGTCAGACCGAAGGGCATTACTCTAAACTTCCACAGTTTGTGGTGAGTTTTGAAAGCTGTTTTGAACTCGTCCCCCTTTTTTCATCTGTATTTGATGGTACCCGGATTGAAGATCGATTTTGGAAAAGAATTGGGCTCTATGTAATTCATCAAGCAAGTCCTCCAGCACTGGAACTGGGTATTTGTTCTTCACTGTTATCTCATTCAACTTGCGATAGTCAATACAGAATCGCCAAGTTGAATCCTTCTTTTTCACCAAAATTACAGGTGAAGAAAACGGTGATATGCTTGTTGTCACAGTCTGGGCCTCCAACATATCCCTCACCATCTTCTCAGTGATGTTCTTCTGCTCATAAGAGTATCTATATGGCCTTTGGTTAACTGGTTTAGAACCCGGTATGAGTTCAATGGTGTGGTCACAAGTCCTCGAAAGAGGAAGGTCTTTAGGTTCTTGGAAGATATTCACAAATTGTCGAAGCAACTTGCGAATTTGGGTCGGGCTCTTCTGAGGCTCTTCTTTTGTTGTTACTGCTACTAATTGGGTTGACAAGCAGCAGTGGCCCATGCCCAGTAATTTTTCAATGGATTTGACATCTCCTTCCTTTAATTCTCCCATTCCCTCAATCCTCATTATAGTAACCAATTTATCACCTCTAAAAAATGATATACTGCGAGGGCGTGTGTGCAATGCAATAGGAGTTACAATATCAATCCAATCCATGCCAAGAATTATGTCACTGCCCCCAGCTTTCAACAAGGATAAATCAAAAAAGAAAGCTTCATCACCCATGGTCTAAGAGAACCTTGGGCATTTGTAATTGCAAGGCATCAACTGATCATTTGCCACTCTAACCTTCATGGGCCTGCCAATAGGTTCCGTTAGAAGGTGTAGTTGTTTGACGATATGGGGATCCACAAAGCTGTGGGTTGCTCCGCTATCAATGAGTATCGCCACAGGGAACTTCTTGACCAGCCCTTGGATTCTGATTGTGGTTGATGATTGGCTTCCTCCTAACATCATTGCCAATGTCACCTCCCCCTATACTTCCTCTTCACCAATTGCTTCTTCGAAGACTTCATCCTCTTCTACCCTTTCCTCATGTTGTTCTTCCCCTTCTATTGTATTCAGTGCTTTGTTTTTGCATTAATGGCCAGGAAAATAGCGATCATGACATTTGTAGCACAGATTATGCTCCCTTAAAGTCTCAATACTGGGGTTCTTTGGTCCTGGAACTTTAGGATTTATTGCTGAGGTAATTTTACTGAAGGAAGGTAGTGAAGGTTTAGAGCTATAGCTGAAGTGATTGCGTCTGTTGGGTACTTTGGAAATATTGTTTTTAGACTGGGCACTTAAGGACTGTTCATAAAGCTTATCCATGGCATAAGTTTTCACAAGGGTTGGGGGATTGGCTACTTTCACCATTGGGCCCAAATCTGGCTTTAGCCCACCTATAAAACAAGTAATAAAATAAGTTTCATCGAAATGAGGCCTAGCTAACAGGACAGGGCCCTTAGTGCCTCAATTTTTTTTTGATAAGTCTCCACATCTATCACTTGCTGGAGCTTATTGAATTCAATCACCACAACTAAAGGCTCGACCTGGCCATAACGTTGACAAATATCAAAAGAAAACTGAGCCCAAGATACCTGACCCCCATTATCAATCATGTAAGGATCATACCAATAGTCAATTTGATCCCTAATATTGATTGCAATATAAGTCATCTTCTCTGCCTCTGACACCTTGTATAAATTAGAAAAGTTATTTACAACGTCTAATTCAACCACGTGGATTATTACTATCAAATTGTGGAAAAGCGAGTTTGGCTTTAGGCATGCGAAGGGGAGGCTGGGTATCAACAGGGTAGGAAAAGTTTTGGGGGGAAAATGATTTGTGGGGGGAAACTGATGGGATAAATGGCCTGAAGTGGTATAATGTGGGGAAAAAAGGTTAGGTTTGTGTAATGTGATGGCAAGTGGGTGGTATATGGTGTCTGAGCAAACGAGGGTGCATAAGTAGATGGGTACATGTGTGATGAGTGGAGCCAGGAGTGAAAAGCCCATAGGTCATAGGTATTTCTATCGTGGGCGGTGTAAGGGTAGTGTGAACATTATACAAAGGCCCCATAGGGGTTGAAGGCCCAAGTAACTGCCGAGAAAGTCCAAAAGCAGGTGCTGGCTAGGGTACTTGAATATTGTATGAAAAGTAAGGGTTCATCGGGGCAAAAGAAAATGATTCATTCCCAGGTGAGGCCATGCCGATACGGTGAATATTTTGAGTGGTAGAGGAAAAATCAAATTTTGACTGACACTAGAGTTTATTGGGGTTACTGGAGTCGAAGCCACTGAATATGCAGACAAAGGCAAGTTGGTGGTGGTAGCATGTACCGGAGTAAACGGTGTCGAACTTGACCTGAAAGCTCCTCCAACAGAAGATTGACCATTTTCAACGTAAGAGCTCCCCTGAGCAACTGCCATGTAAGATCTACTCATGTTCCAACCTTCCTCTCGCCTATTCATGTCCATAACCGAGTTTGAGCACTCTTGAAGACATGCGTCTATATTTCTTTGTATATCCTCCATTGTCTCCATACGCCTATTAGAGGTATCGATAAATGCTTGAATTTGAAGTTCCAAATTCCTAGAACCTCCTTCGTTGTCGCCGGCTTTTTGTTTATCGACCATCGTGGCACGAGAACTGTGGCTCTAGATACCAAATGTAGCGTTCTGCTACTGGTTGGATTAAAGGCAGCTCTGAAAAATATCGAGAGAAGGAAAGAAAGGATAAAAATGCTAAGAAGAAAAAGATAAAATTTGGATTTAAATTTTGCATATCTTTCTTTCAAGACTGACTAGGTACATATAGGAAATACTAGAAAACAACTGTCAAATGCTCAGCAAATGCTAACAAACTGTACTACCTGGACACATGTCCTTAATTAGCTGTTCATAGGATTAAGGAGTGAAAAATGACTAAACTTAAAGGGACTTGTAAATAGCCCCTACTAAGTAACATAAACGACACAAACACCTACTTTTCTAATTAGCATTGCTTTTCCTAATTATTCATCCAAGTCACGACCAAATCATGACAAAAGGTAGTGAATTTTAACTCGTATATCCAAGAACTGGGTTAAGGCAATTTTGTCCAGTGTTCTTGTACTTTTCATCACGTCGGCTCTAGGGTTTGTAGAAGAACCTCGATTTTTTTGCGATTCAATCAATTTTTTCCTATTGTAACGCGCCAAATCGATCCAAAATCTGAACGCTACCCATCTATTTCTTATAATTTGTTTTTTTGTTTTCAAGAGGATGGGGGCGTCCTTTGGAGGTGTCTGGAGGTGAAAGGTGTGATGGTGGCTTACATTAGTGCGATACAGGATTTGTATGATAGAGCTATGAATCGGATTAGGATTGTGGGCGGTGACTCAGAGCCTTTTCCTGTGGTTATGAGGTTACACCAAGGATCTGCGCTCAACCCGTTCTTATTTTCCCCTGGCGATGGACGCACTGACACACCATATCCAAGGAGAGGTGCCACAATGTATGTTGTTCGCTGATGATATAGTTCTGATTGATGAGACACATGGCGGCGTTAATGGGATACTGGAGGTATAGAGGCAGGCGTTGGAGTCTAAAGGTTTCAAGTTGAGTAGGACTAATACGGAGTATGTGGAATGTAAGTTTAGCGACGTGACGGGGGACGGGGATGTGGAAGTCAGGATTGACTCTGATGTTATCCTCAAGAGAGAAAGTTTTAAATTCTTAGGGTCAATTATCTAGGGAGATGGGGAGATCGACGGAGATGATACGCACCGTATTGGGGTGGGATGGATGAAATGGAGGTTAGTGTCTGGAGTCCTGTGTGACAAGAATGTGCGACCGAAACTCAAAGGTAAGTTCTATAGAGCAGTGGTTAGACCGGCCATGTTGAATGGGACTGAGTGTTGGCCAGTAAAGAATTCACAAATCCAGAAGATAAAAGTAGCAGAATGAGGATGTTGAGATGAATGTATGAGCACACTAGGCTGGATAAGATTGAGAAAGAAAATATTCGGGAGAAGGGGGCGTGGCTTCGGTGGACGACAAGATGCGGGAAGCGCGGCTTAGATAGTTCAGACACGTGCAGAGGAGAAGCCTAGATGTCCCGGTTATGAGGTATGAGCGGTTGGCTTTGGCAGGTACAAGAAGAGGTAGAAGGCGGCCTAAGAAGTACTGGCGTGAGGTGATGAGACAGGACATGGCGCGACTCCAGATTTTCGAGGACATGACTCTTGATAGGAAGGTGGATTTGAAATCACTGCTTATATACCCGGTATTGGCCATAATTTACAAGAACATTCTGTAGTCTTAGTAAGAGGGGGAAGGGTTAAGGATTTACCCGGTGTGAGATATCACATTGTTCGAGGAACCCTAGATGCTGTCGGAGTAAAGGATCGTCAACAAGGGCGTTCTAGTGCGTTGTAGATTCTTATCCAAGACTTGTATCATTTGATGATGCCATGTGAATCGCTAGAAACATGTGAAGTGTATGGCTAACCCAATAACGAAAGTTTCGTAAGGGGACTGGAGCAGGCTACCATGAGACAAAAGATCTTCTTTCTAAAGAGATTCGATTCGGAACTCTTATATGTCCAAGGTTCAATATTGAAATAATTTCAGAGGTTTTCCCTGACTTTGTCCGTGTCAACAAACAATTCGAAATACCTCGACTTTTTTAGAACAGGTCCGAGTCAAATAGCAATGATTCGAAGCACTTCTTTTTACACTATTTCGGAAACCCAAGGACTCAATCGTATGGATATGTAAAATACAGGATTTCCAATCCTAGCAGGAAAGGGAGGGAAACGGATACTCAATTTAAAGTGAGTAAACAGAATTCCATACTCGATCTCATAGATACATATAGAATTCTGCGGAAAGCCGTATTCGATGAAAGTCGTATGTACGGCTTGGAGGGAGATCTTTCATATCTTTCGAGATCCACCCTACAATATGGGGTAAAAAAGCCAAAATAAGTGATTTTAGCCCTTANTGCCGCGAGGAATCAAGAGATCTTTGCCGGTGCTGACTTGGATCTCGGGTGACGGAATAAGGAACCTTTTCTTTGATTTGAAAAGAAGGTGAGAGCCTTAACCCTCTGGTCTGTGGGTAAACCCTTCAAAGATAGAAAGCCAGTGTCCTCTTTGAAGAGTTCTTCGGTGAAAAGATCGCTAGCATCCAAGGATGATCTGAGCTGAGGTCTAGCCCCAAAGGGATAAGGAGCAGAGCAACTGGCGTAAAAAGAAGGGATAGGGGCCATACTACATAGCCTCCTTTTCGTACGAAATTTCCTAATTTTTAACTCTTATTACATTCAATTCAGTTTGAGATGAAAGGACATCAGATAGTCTCATTCAAACAAAGAAAGATAGGTAATGGACTCTATCCAAGACTGAGACAACATAGGCTAAAGAAAGGGGCTTAGCTTAGGGGGCAGCTAGACGATCAAAGATCAAGCAAGCGGATGCAATCAAAGAGCATCACCACTTTCTCCGTCTTAGACTTTTTCGACTACTTCGAATGGAATGCTGCGGGAAAGGGGTTAGACTAACTATCAGAACAAGCAAATTTCCCTTTAGCCACTCGCGAATGGGCATCAAAAAGGAACTCCCACTAAAACCTCAAGGAANTAGGCTAAAGAAAGGGGCTTAGCTTAGGGGGCAGCTAGACGATCAAAGATCAAGCAAGCGGATGCAATCAAAGAGCATCACCACTTTCTCCGTCTTAGACTTTTTCGACTACTTCGAATGGAATGCTGCGGGAAAGGGGTTATACTAACTATCGGAACAAGCAAATTGAGCATTAGGGTGGTAGGTTAAAGGGTAGTTGAGCGATTTTCTTCTTTGTCCCGATTTTCCTCTTTGTACCGATGAGTATGATAATGTTGTGTCTAGCACTGCTAACGATTTATATTGTGTTTCACACTTTTGCATAATATTTGTGTTATTGTTTTTCCATTTATTTGTTGTCTCTCACGTTGTTGATATTATTTTTTCGGATTTTGTTATCAAAGATCTATTGTCGGTCTCCCGGAAACATCCCATCTATTGTTGGTATTTTTGTATCAACTTTCTATAATTGATTTCTTGTCATGTTTCACTAATTGTTACTATATTTTAAATTGATTTTCTATTAAAAGTTACTGTAAAAATTGCGCGGGCGCCCTATTTGATCGCCTCCCATTTAACCTATGCTCATATTTTTAAAATTATTTAACCTATACCCTAATTTTTACAACTTCAGGCGCCTCCTTCTTCCTGTCACCTGTACAAATTTCAGCTTATTTAGTGCTGAAGTTTTTACAAATGAACTAAACAATTTCAGCATCTTCTGCTGAAGTTTTTGGAAAAGCTTTATGACAAAACTAAACTTCGGATTATTTAGTGCTAAAGTTTTTTTAAAAGAACTAAATAATTTCAGCATCTTCTGCTAAAGTTTTTGAAAAAGCTTTATGACAAAACTAATGGATCCAGGTTGAAATTTCAGCTTATTTAGTGCTAAAGTTTTTTACAAATGAACTAAATAACTTCAGCAGCTTTCGCTGAAGTTTTTGAAAAGCTTTATGACAAACTAATGAATCCAGGACAAACTTCAGCTTATTTAGTGCTGAAATTTTTACAAATGAACTAAATAATTTCAGAATCTGTTGCTTAAATTTTACGTGATTAATGTAGTTGAAACAACATAAACTTAGAAACATTCAATAATCACGCCGCATCAAGCAATATTTGGCATCCAAGCGTTAATAAGTGCAATTTATTACGTGTCGGGCACAAGTCGTAATCGGAGCTCCAGATCCATTTCATTCAATTGAGTCGGGTACAAGAAAGAAAGCTTCCAACACAACTTGTCATCTTCAATTCGTCCACGAATCCATATCGTTTGCTTCCAGAACCATCGACGAGTTTGGCAATCTCATTTTCTTCTGTAGATGACAAAGTTGTAGGCTATGGCATCGTCGTCGAGTTCTCTGATTCGTCGAATTGTTCCCTTTTTCACCACTCGGATTCGCCAAAATTACCGCCTTTTGAATTCTTATGCTTCTTCTGCTCTATCTCAACCCCAATCCCAATCCCAAGTCGAAGCTCCCGATTCTGTTTTAATGGCCGAGAGCTGCGTTCGTGTAAGTTTAGTATATCTCGCCATCCGAAGTTTAGTTTATGTTAAGAAAAATAATATTTTTTATATAAAAATAATTTAACTTTAACTTCTTACTTTACTGTTAATAAGATAATTTATAGCTACACACAAATGATTTGATTTAGACCACAGATTTTAAAAATTTACTTTTCTTTTTAAACTTGTGACAAATCAACATAAATTAATCGGAAGGAAGTGAGTAATTATGGGAATATTGCATATTTAACGTCCCTAATGACAAAATATAGGTTGTTCGCTATTACATTTAGTCATGATTTCTTGCATCCAACTCAACAGATCTAAGTAGGGGTGTACATAAGCCGGATTGGTTCGAATTTTACAATTACCAAATCAAATCAATTGTGTCCGATTTTTATATCTAAAGATCAAACCAAACCAATAAAACTCGAATTTTTTAATCTCGGGTTTTCGGGTTTTTTTCGGTAAAATCTTCGTAGAACAAAACATATAACGTATGCTCAAAATATTTCTTTAATCCTAGTAAGATACAACTATATAAAGTATTTTCCAAGAAAATAATACAAAATATGAGATGTGTCATGTCATTATCCTAAAATATTCAACAATAAAAACAATAAAATTATGTAATATAAATATTGCTAATTAAAAAGCCATAATAAAAATAAACATAATCTAAAAGTACTAAGTCATGCTAAAATAAATAGAATAAGGGAGTATTAATTACATGACTAAACGCTAAAGAAAAATAAAAATAGGTTTTACATTTTTATCTAAATTATTGCAAAACAAAAAATAGATATTCAATACGTTCTCGTTCGTAATATTGAATTGATTGTCTTTTGTTAGCATTAGTATTGGTTTGATTTTGGTTTGGGCTTTTGTCAGCATTATTTAATTTTCTAATATTAATAGCTATAAAACTTATTGGAGCATTCAAAAGTTCTAAGTCAAAGAAACTAAAATTTGAACTAGAAACTCCCCACAAACGACGCCAAATTATTTTACCAAAAAAGTGTTAAACCTTTTCTTAAAACGGATTGATAAGAAAATAGGGATGAATCGTAGTTAAATATAATATCTACTAGATCTGAAGGTTTAATGTATTAATGATGTAGGGCTGTGTCTGATAATATTGAATGTCGATTACAAGTGTTCAATGATTGTCAATGAATGCAATAGAGAAAGCATGCAATTAATGTAGATACTGACAATAAATGTAATAAGAAGAAATTTGTCACCCAAATGTATAGATGACATGGATGATTCTCCTTCCTGACAACAACGACAATATAAAATGAAGGTGGACAAGAAATCCTCTTGTAGATTGAGGATTGGGTCATGGAACATAGGCACGCTGACGGGTAAGTCGATAGAGTTGGTGAAGATTCTCCAGAAGCGGAGGGTCAACATAGCTTGTGTCCAGGAGACTAGATGGGTAGGGTCGAAGGCAAGGAATGTAGACGGGTATAAGCTGTGGTACTCTGGGGCCGTGAGGGGTAAGAATGGAATGGGCATCTTGGTGGATAGGGAGCTTAGGGAGTATGTGGTTGAGGTTAGGCGAGTGAATGACAGGTTGATGTTTATTAAGTTGGTGATTGGTGAGTGTACCCTTAATGTCGTTAGCGCCTACGCGCCGCAAGCAGGCTTGGATGTGGAGGTTAAAAGGCGTTTTTGGGAGGGTCTGGACGAGACTGTGCGTAGCTTTCCTCCTTCTGAGAGGTTATTTATCGGAGGGGACTTTAATGGCCGTATTGGGTCAGCCGCTGGTAGCTATGGCAAGGTGCATGGTGGCTTTGGTCTTGGGGACAAGAATGGAGGAGGCACTTCACTATTAGATTTAGCGAGGGCTTTCGAGCTGGTGATTGCGAACTCGATTTTCCCGAAGAGAGAAGAGCATCTGGTTACTTTCCAAAGTGCGGCGGGGAGGACTCAAATTGATTACCTCCTCCTCAGAAGGTGTGATAGAGGGTTGTGCAAGGATTGCAAGGTTATCCCGGGAGAGTCCCTCGCGACTCAGCATAGGCTCTTAGTGTTGGACATCGGTATTTTGTTAAAGAGGAAGAGGAGGTGTGCCCGGGGATCGTCGAGGATTAGGTGGGGAGCTTTGACTAAGGATAATGCCCAGGAGCTGGAGAAGAGGTTATCCGCTATGGGGGCTTGAAGGAGTAGTGGGGATGCGAGCTCTATGTGGTCCGCGACGGTAACCTTTGTGAGGGAGGCGGTGAGGGAGGTGATAGGGGTATCGAAGGGTTATGCTGGAAGGCATAAAGGCGACTGGTGGTAGAATGATGTAGTCCAAGGTAAAGTGGAGGCAAAGAAGGTAGCGCATGCGAGGTTGGCAGGGAGCGCCAGTGAGGAGGAGAGGAGAGAGAATAGAGAGAGGTACAAGGTGGCGAGGAAGGAGGCGAAGCTGGCGGTCACGGAGGCCAAGAATGCGGCATTTGGTCGTCTGTATGAGGAATTGGGGGGAAAAAGGTGGAGACAGGAAGTTATTTCAGCCAGCTAAAGCGAGGGAGATGGAAGCACGTGACCTAGACCAAGTAAGGTGCATCAAGGATGAGGAGGGTCGGGTATTGATGGGGGAGTCTCAGCTTAAGCAGAGATGGCAGTCGTACTTCCGAGGTCTTCTTAACGAGCAAGGGGATCGGGAAATAGAGTTGGGAGTATTGGGGCATTCGGAGAGTCTCTGAGACATTGGGTTTTGCAGGCGCATTAGGGTGGATGAGGTAGTGGGGGTTTTGCGTAAGATGAGTAGGGGTAGAGCGATCGGGCCGGACGAAATTCCAGTTGAGTTCTGGAAGTTTGTGGGGAGAGCTGGACTGGAGTGGTTGATGGGGTTGTTCAATGTTATTTTTAGGACGAAGAAGATGCCGAAGGAGTGGAGATGGAGCACAGTGGTGCCGTTGTATAAGAGAAAAGACGATATCCAATGTTGTAACAACTATAGGGGTATCAAGTTACTAAGCCATACTATGAAAGTCTGGGAAAGGGTGGTTAAGGCGAGGGTGAGGAGGACGGTGTCAATATCTGACAACCAGTTTGGGTTCATGCCAGGTCGATCCACCACGGAAGCAATCCACCTTATTAGGAGGCTGGTGGAGCAGTTCAGGGATAAAATGAAAGATCTGCACATGGTGTTTATCGACTTAGAGAAAGCATATGACAAGGTCCCTAGGGAGGTGCTCTCGAGATGTCTCGAGGCTAAGGGCATGCCGGTGGCCTACATAAGAGCGATCAAGGACATGTATGATGGAGCTAGATCAAGGACTTGGTGTGGTGTGTCGGTTTCCTCTGTACACCCCTAGATCTAAGTTTCTAGAAATATTATTCCAATTAAGCTTATGTTACAAAATAATCTGAGCAAAAGCAAAATTATAAATTACATTTGTAAAAAATGTAAAAATTGCACGGTGCGCCCTATTTGGTCGCCCCTATTTAACCTATACCCATTTTTTAAAGTTTTTTAACTTGTACCCACTTTTTATACAACTTTAGCCCCCTTTCTCCTTCTCCTTCTCCCAGTGATCTCCATATCTCTTCGGTTATTAGACAATGATCCACTTTTTTTTAGTTCAACAAATTCTTCTGAATCTATTTCTGGTACTCTCTCTACAACTTCCTCCAAAACTGACTGTTTTTACTATGAAAAATCCTCAAGAAATACTACTACTACTACTACTTATTTTGTTGCGGCAAAGAGTAAAAAATCAGTGAGAAGAGACAGCGTTTCACCATGTTTGGAACGTAGGAGTGAGTTTTATTTATTTGATGATTATCACAATAAAAAAACAGAGGAAAATGAGGAGAGTTTGATTAAGTCAAAATCAAGAGCTTTGAAAATCTACAACAATTTGAAGAAAGTGAAACAACCCATTTCGCTTCGTGGTCGTCTTACTAATTTTCTTAGTTCCATTTTCAATAATGGAAATGGGAAAAAATCAAAGTGAGATTTACAATCAAATTCCATTGTGAGCTGAGTTCGCCAGTTACAAATAAAAACTTCAGCTCTAGAGCTGAAGTTCGATAGTTACAAAACAAAAACTTCAGCTCTAGAGCTGAAGTTCGATAGTTACAAAACAAAAACTTCGCCAGTTACAAACAAAAACTTCAGCTCTTCGCCAGTTACAAAACAAAAACTTCAGCTCTAGAGCTGAAGTTTGCCAGTTACAAAAACAAAAATGTTACTTCAGTTCCGTCTACTAGAATGCTGAAGTTTTGCGTGATTACCTTTGCTACTTCGGCCCCGTATACTTAAGTTACGCGAAAAAGTAGGTACGCTTGTAATTGTTTTTGCAAAGCGTGCACAAATTAAAACGTGACCCGAAAAACGGGTATAGATGCAAATGGCGCAACCACACTTATATAATATGGGTTAACCCATATTCAACCCGCCCATTTAATACCCAACCCGCTTTTTAGCCGCATGAAATATGGGCGGCTTGAGATCCAACCCATTTTTAATACGCCCAAATCCAACCCAAACCCGCCTATTTGCCACGGCTACTTCCAACAATCTTCAATTCGTCCAAATCCATATCGTTTGCTTTTCTTCTGTAGATGACAAAGTTGTAGGCTATGACATCGTCGTCATCGAGTTCTCTGATTCGTCGAATTGTTCCCTTTTTCACCACTCGGATTCGCCAAAATTACCGCCTTTTGAATTCTTCTGCTTCTTCTGCTCTATCTCAACCCCAATCCCAATCCCAAGTCGAAGCTCCCGATTCCGTTTTAATGACCGAGAGCTGCGTTCGTGTAAGTTTATATCTCACAATCGGAAGTTTTCCCTGTTATGATTGATATTATTTGGGATATATTTTCTGTCGCTATAAATATTTTCTTATGTGAATTTGTAACATAAATTTTCAAGGTTTTTATGCTGTCTCTTTTGAAGGCATCACGAGACTTGAACCCTTTTTGTTTAATCAGCTAAAAAGTCAAAACTTGTTTAGTTGCTTTATGAAAGATTGTTAAATTCCAAGCGGATATCTCCAACCTCCATTTCTGAAAGGGTTTATATGGAAAAGGGGATTTTTTTTTTTTGGGTCTGGAAATTGTGATACCTATGACTATGTGAGAACATAATCAGTTAGACGACAAGATTCAAGCTTTTATACTGTTTTATGAGGTTTGATGTGTGTAGAGATTTAGGTGTCTGTAAAATTTAATTGAGACAATTCAATGACTTGGTCCTTTTACTTGCCTGAGTAGAGGATGAAAGAGTTGCAAGCTGGTGAACACCAAGAGAAGATGCTTCGTTTGAGTGTTGAAGCTGGTGGTTGTTCGGGGTTTCAATATGAATTCTCTCTAGATGATAAGACCAATTCTGATGACAGGTTTTCTACTATTTGTCAGCCTATTTAATTTTCGGGCCGTATTTGTCTTTCCTTAATTGTCTTAAAACTAATTATTGAGTATAATTGATTGATTGCTGAATCATGTTCCCAAAAGCCACTTAAAATGCACTTTAGTACCATATGTTACCAGTATTAAGATTTTTCAGTATGTTGTTTATGCTGCCATCTTATTCCTCATAGAATTTTTGAGCGTGACGGAGTTAAATTGGTCGTGGATAATGTATCATATGATTTCGTCAAAGGTGCAACTGTTGATTATGTCGAGGAGCTGATTCGCTCTGCTTTTCAGGTCTGTAAATGTACCTTCATTATTGGTATTTTCTTACATGTCAGTCACATACACATCCATATTGGTATTCTAGATCAATAGCATGACATATGTTGCTATTCTCATTTTCATTTACTGTTTGTCAATGAAGCAAGAACGAGGACAGATCATTAGCTTAAGCCCAAAAACACTTGCCATTCTCAAATATGATGATTTATTAGCCTGGGTTAGAAAATAGAAGTTTTACCTTCAAGTAGTTTATCTATAAATTAAAGGTGTCTAACTCATATAGACCAGAATTCTTATTTTAAAATGCATGATTTTTTTTCTTCAAAATTTAACTGCTTTTGAAGTATGGGAAAAGATCACTTTAGACTTGAGCAGTTTTTTGTGTCTCTATCTTGTCATGTATGGAACAAGGAAATTAGTTGATACTTCAAAAGGTTATCTTGCACCACATACAGTTTCAGGCTTCCTCCAGACAACCCCCATGTTCTCCCAAGTGCCCATCAACTGAAAATGTATCAGAAACAGAAAAGAACAAATGAAAAGAATGGACTCGTGCTAAAATTATTTATGAACAAACAAAAGTTTTTTTTATTTTTGCAAAACACAGGTAAAATGACTCGGACCATATGTTTTACTATTGTGATTGAACTTTTGGTACTACCTTCTAAAGGGGAATATGGTGTTAGTGCTTGGATGTTATTTTGGAGGAAAACAGTTGAAAAGCTTCTTAGATTTGACAAAATTACAAGCCTGCAAGTTTTCTGGTGTTATCTGAGCTATAGGGAAATAAAAGTCACATGCTCTTAGAAGAATTCATGCGAGGGTGTGGTAGTGTATTACACGAATTTATGCCATTATCCTAATGTTCACATTGCTCCAAGTCCAAGAATTTTCATCCGTTAAAGTTTGATATATCTTTTAGCTGGCACTAGGACCATTTAACCGCTTTTGTGCATGTCTTATTTTCTGCAGGTGTCTACCAATCCTAGTGCAGTGGGTGGATGCAGTTGTAAAAGTTCATTTATGGTGAAGCAGTAAAATGGCACATTCAGCCAAATAATCGGCATTCCAATGAGCAGGACATGGTTTATTAATCCTTCTGGTGTCTAATATCTGTTCATCATATACTTGTACCTTTTGTGGTAGCAAGACCTGCATTATGAGGCATTTTTCCGAATTTGTACTCAAGAGATCATAGGTTCTTTTGTACATGTCAATTCTTTTGTCTTGTTGGAGGGTAGAATGGTATTGTTAAACTAAGCAGACAGACAGGCTGTTGTATTTTAGGCAATAATTCCAGCTGAAGAGATGCTATTCAGCATTTGACAAGGAAAATTGAAGTGAAGATGCTTCAATCAGAACACATCTTACTCGCGGCATTCCCTGTAGGCTGTAGCTATTGTTATGAAGGTCCTGAGAGCATGCATACTAGATAGTGTCGCCATCCACTATGGTAGAAAAGTTTGATGAAGCAAAGCTTTATGTTTCTGTATGATGCTTGAAATCTATGTTCATGTTGATGGAACAATGCTCAGGTGATGGTCTAAAAGTGGTATCAAAGATTGGGGGAAATGCCAATATGAAGGAGCTACTTACACCAAAGCTAGTAATTGTTGTCAAAAATGTTACATTTCACACCACTATTATCTGTCGATACTGTCTGTCTTAAGTTTTTCTACTTAACGCTTCAATTATCATTAATGAGCACCCACTTAGTCTTTCTCTCATGTCTTTTCCTAACCACATTTATAGCATATCAAATTTTAAAGACTTAAGCCTAGTTTATGGCGAGTAGACATATAGTTTGAGATTGTATTAAGCATTGTTTAGATAGGATCTAGTAGCAGGTAGATCAAATTCGATAATAGAGGATAACTTATTTAGAATAAAATTGCAAATCTTCCTCAAATTACTTTTTAGTGCAAAGTTTATAATGTAAAACTACTTTAGTATGGTTTATTTTAGAGAAACTATCTGAAATCACTATGTTTCAGTGGTTATTAGCTAGTTGTAGCTATCATTTAGTACTATATTACTTCCTATAGCTATGTTTTCAGATTTTTTTAGAGTGTATTCAATGTATTTAAGCTACTGTATTCATGAATACAGTAGCATTTCTAGGCGTGAAACAAGGGATTACAGATAGACAGATTTTTGTATTCGACTGTATTCATGGCGTGAAACATGGGATTAAAGCTGGACAGATTATTGTATTCGGTTGTATTCACGGCATGTAATAGGGGATTACATTATTTTTAAACGGAAAGTGATTGAATTAACATAATAGACTCCTAATATAACTCAACAAACTCAATTATAACACACAAATTTTGTATTTTCAGTTATAAAAAAAATTCTCAACCGAAAAACACCTCAAAAACATAGCAATCTTCAGAGAAATTATATAATACATTTGAATACATAAATTATGTTAATTAAATAAAACATATGAATACATTCATGGAATCTAGCAAAATAGTGAATATAATGAAATACATAGAATACAGCGGGATACATTGAAATACAATTAAAAAAGAAAATGAATATAATGAAATACAGCGAGATACATTGAAATATATTAACAGAAAATACAAGTTCCATTACAACGAGAAACTATCTATCAAAATCTTTCCTTCTTCCATTGCTCTTAAAAGAGCAATTGTCTGTAAATGGCGACAATTTCACTGTCTTTTGTTTGGCTGTGTCGACTTTTTGTACTCTTTTAGCAAATAAGAATATTAGACCTGAAGGAGAAATATCACGACTTCTTCCCCTTCTCCAGCGAGATTGAAATTCGACTGTGAATGAGATTGGGAGACTGAGGGCGGCGGTATGAGGGAGAATAGATATGGGGTAGGAGATAGAAGAAATTTGAGGGGATATAAGAGAGAAAAATAATACAAAGTTTATTTTATGGCATAAGGGTAAGAGGTAACCATAAATAAATATTTGACTATAAAAAATCAAAAGGTAACTATGGAATATAATTTTTTTTAAAAGGATATTTATTTAAAATAAATTAGGTATCAACCTTTGCTATAGGAGGTAACTAATCCAATAATGTATGTACAATTTTTATTCTATTATATTAAGTTGGGACATAATAGAAAATCCAATAATATTATCTTAAGGATAAAGCAATAACTTTTTATAGTCAGTTAAATTATAATGATAAGATAAATTTATTACTACCCCGAGTAGAAAAATAATTATACATCTTTTTTCATACCGGTGACGCTTCTGAGGAGGTCATATAACTTAAATTCAATTGTAATGAAATTGGAGAGGGGGAAAAACAGAGACTCGAAGATTAAAATAGACTAGTTTTAGAATACGCACGATAAATTCATCCATTTTAGCAATATCCTTGCATCATAAAAACATAAGTACTTATCGATCTGATGATGATACATAGTGAAAAGTACATATTTAGATGAATTCGTATGAGTAACAAAAAAATATAGCATGATTGGAGTTGTTGACCTAAAACTAAAGAATTATCATTTGGATGTTGAACGCATAAGGACATAAATCTAAGAAGAGTGTCAAAAATCTTTGGGGTAGGAATAAAAAACTGAGCAACTTTTTTCACCCTAAAAACCAAGGTAGGTAGGAAATTTAAAAATGAGCCCATCCTTCTCCTTATATGTGAAAAATTAAGTTACCAAATATAAAAATGGAATAAAATAAAAAATAGTATAGTGAATTTATGTTTATTCAAACGCTATAGATGAGTTTTAGTATGTGTGAGCTGGTCCAACTGATCTAAAAAGATTTCAGTTTGCGGACACAACAATTATTCCGTTGAAAAGAAGTATTTCTTTGAGAGTAATTATAATGAAATCTTTTGAATGTCAACTCCATTACCCTACTTAAAAAAGAATAGTGTATCATCCATGTTACAGGAGTAGAATTAAATAATGATAATAATCATATCTGTTGATACTCAAGAATCAATATCAGGTTTTGGTGGGGTTTATTTTTAACTTAACGACAAGATATGCTGTTGGCACTACATAGTTATAGTTTGAAACGGAGCTTTGGAGCAACGACAAAATTGTTCTTGTGTAATTTATAGGTCATGTTTTCAAGCTTTGGAAGCAGACACTAATGCTTGAATTACTCTTTGTATTAGGGTACGTTGTCTAATGAGATATGGCCTTTTAGACACTGTGTAGTATTAGGGTACGTTGTCTAATGAGATATGGCCTTTTAGACACTGTGTAGTATTAGGGTACGTTGTCTAATGAGATATGGCCTTTTAGACACTGTGTAAATATAGAATATTTTGCGTGCCTTTTTTTTTACTCCTTCCAGTTCATAATAAGTGACCAGTTTGCTTTTAACACGCCCATTAAGAAAATACTAAATTCTATACAAAATACCTATTATGACTAAACTACTCCTAATTAACTATTTAATGTGAGGAGTAAGAAAACTTTTTAGGGATATGCACATAAGGGTTACTCCCTCCGGTCCAAAATAAGTGATTTTTAGTTGTTTTCACATAGATTAAGAAATTCACCCTTTAACATTAATTATCAATGAAATTGACCATATTAACCTTTACTATCTCTTCATATAAACACTCTTAACATATACTCCAACACTATTTACTCCAAGGGCAATGTAGGAAAAAAATAATTAATTCATTCTTGAAATCTGAAAAAATCACTTATTTTGGATCACAAAAAAAAAGCCAAAAAATCACTTATTTTGGACCGGAGGGAGTATTTTGTAAAAAAAAAAATTGAATTCTTTCTTGATTATATAAATTGATATTTATTTTGAACCAAAATAAAAAAGTAAACTGGTCACTTACTGTGAACTAGAGGGAGTACTATATAGCTATTGCACTCTTTAATTTGTCCAGATTTAACCTCAAAACATTGTTTAATACATGTGAATGCGTGATTCACTTGGAGAAAAAAGTTGATTATCTAAAGAAATAGATTAAGAAAAAAAACTCTTCAACTTCTAAATGATGGCTGTCCCTTTTTATTCTTTGTTTTATTATTGTATATTTTGTTTTACACGGTTGCAATTTTCCCTTGTGACCTTTATTCCTTATGCTATTTGGGATGGTTGTAACTTGTAACTATAAGACTGGAATCTGATAGTATAACTTCTCGACTTTTTAATTTTTTATATTCTAGTCATTTAAAAAAATCTTTTTATAATAAATGTGAATTAGTAACTTCATAAGCGAGATAACTAAACTGTTATAAACATGGTAAACTATATCAATCGTGTACGATGGTTTTATAATACTGTGTGATCGATGTATGTTATAGTTAATCTACTTTTTGGAACTCAATGTCTCTTCTCTTCAAAAAGAAGAGACAAGAATAACAAAAAGAAAGAAAACAAAAGGAGGACGGCAAGGATAATGTTATTCCATGACCTAACATCTAATTTTGGTTTAATTATATTGTAGGCATAGTGAATTTATCAATGCATGAATCATCCCCTTTAGTTCTTTATGACTCTATCAATGCATGAATCATTCATTCTACTTTTTTATGAGACTATACCAACGCATGAATCATACATCCCCTTACTAGTTCTTGTCTTCTTGACGACTACTTTCAGTCATGCAACAACAACAATAATATATTAAGTATAATTTTACTAGTGGGGTCTGAGAAAATAGGATGTACGTAACCTTACCTCTACTTTGTGTGAGATAGAGAAGTTGTTTCTGATAGACTTCCAGACTTAAGAAATAAAACGTTTTCAAAACAAGTATAAAAATACAAGATTAGAAAAATATATGCTAAAAATACTGAAGAAAGGAAAGTATTGACATGAATTATAGTAAAAACAACCAAAGTGAAAGAAAAAAAATAGTAATAAAAACAAAGAATAACATAATAATAGATTAATACTACTAATAGTGATAAGGGGAAGAGGGAGCAAATAAGGTGCTTTAAATTAGAACCAAGCTCTCCCAAAGAAGAGAGAGAGTGTTCAACTGTCTACTAACTTTCTACCTTAATTATTGACCTTCATGCTCTCCTATCTAGGGTCAGCCATGCCCTCGATGAACTTTCAATTCCGCAAGGAATTTATAATAAAGCACCCAAGGGCGGCTCAAGAAAATTGGTGGTCTAAAGTCAATTTTTAATCTGGGGCCTTTCAGAAGAAAATAATAATAATTCATCTATATTTTTAATTGAAGTCTATCTTTCAAGCTTTTTAAGATGTAAAGTTGTTAATAGTTTCTTTTTATAAATAATTTAATCTCTCCTGAGATATTGTTGATCTTAGATAATAGAACCAGATTCAAAAAGTTGATAACTTGATATCGAAATTATTTTTGATATTCTAATATACTTGTTGAAACGCTTGAAACCTGAGAGGGAAAAGGGAAAAAAAAATGCGAATATAGTTTTATTCAACAGTACTCTTCAACTCTTGTTTTTTATAGAAAAAATAAAACTCTTTTCTTTCTATAGAGAACAATATAACTTTTAATTGGAGAAAGAAAATCACTCCCCCTAAACCCATGTTGCAAATATAAAACTTTTTATTATTTAAATTTTACGATTAACATAATTAGTGAAGTACATTTCTCACTAAAAAAGAGTACAAACTTTTAGAATCCATTTTTTGGTATCTTCAATAGTCCAAGTCTTATTTTCTATCTTTACCTTTTGTAAAATATTTTACTTTTTTATTTGAAAATACCCAATATATTTAGACCCTACCTCTAAAGATTGCTGTG